GTGCTGTACCAGTGCCCTGTGTGCCCCCCCCGTGCTGTGCCGTAGCAGTGCCCTGTGTGCCCCCCCTGTGCTGTGCTGTACCAGTGCCCTGTGTGCCCCCCCCGTGCTGTGCCGTAGCAGTGCCCTGTGTGCCCCCCCTGTGCCGTGCCGTACCAGTGCCCTGTGTGCCTCCCCCGTCCACACTGTACCAATCCCTTCTGTGCCCCCCCGCTGCCCCGTGCTCTGCTCCGCCACTGGTGCTGCTCGAGGCCGTGCCACACACGTGTGTCCCATCGTGTGTCACGCTGGTCCGTGCTGTTCTGTGCCATTCTGTGCCACACATCACCACACCGTATGTTACACCATGATGTACTGTGCATTACTGCACTGCACTGTCTGTCCCTGCTCTGCGCCGTCCTGCTCTGTGCTGCTCCACTCATGCCGAGCCGTGCCGTGCTGCACCCTTCTGGGCCGTACCCTGCCCCGCGGTGCCGTGCCATGCCGTGCCATGCTGTGCCATGCCATATGGGACAGCGCCATGTGGGGCTGCGCCAGGCTGCTCCGCACCGTCAGGCGCTGCTCTGGGCTGCTCCCTGCTGTCTGTACCGTGCCATGCTGTGCCATACCGTACAGTGCCGTGCTGTGCCATACCGTGCCATGCCACGCCGTACTGTGCTGCCCTGCCCCATGCTGCACTGTCCAGGCCCTTCCTGTGCCATCCAGGGCAGTGCTGCGCCATGCGGACTGATCCCTGCCGGTGCCGGTGGCAATACCGCGCTGGTGTCACTGCTGTACCTCTCCGTGCTGGTTTCACTCCTGTACCAGTGGCTGAACCGTGCCTCTGTCACTGCTGTACCGCTCTGTGCCAGTGTCACTGCTGTACTGGAGGCTGAACTGTGCCGGAGATACTGCTGTACCGGTGGCTGTACTGTGCTGGTGTCACTGCTGTACCGGTGGCCGTTCCATGCCAGTATTACTGCTGCACCGCTCTGTGCTGGTGTCTGTGTTGTACCGGTGGCTGTACCGTGCCGGTGTCACTGCTGTACCACTCTCTGCCGGTGTCCCTCCTGTATCAGTGGCACTACCGTGCTGGTGTCACTGCTGTACTGCTCTGTGCCAGTGTCACTGCTGCAGCAATAGCTATATCGTGCCGGTGTCACTGTTTTACCACTCTGTGATGGCGTCACTGCTGTACCGCTGTGTGCTGGTGTCACTCCTGTACCATGCCAGTGTCACTGCTGTACCGGTGGCTGTACCGTGCCGGTGTCCCTCCTGTACCGGTGTCCCAGCTGTACCGTGCCGGTGTCACCCCTGTACCGGTGGCTGTACCGTGCCGGTGTCCCCGTTGTACTGGTGGCTGTACCGTGCCAGTGTCCCTCCTGTACCGGTGTCCCAGCTGTACCGTGCC